CTTATTTAATAATTTTTAAATAATGATTATATATATTTCAGTTTCAAACTGTTTACCATTCTCAGGAGCTATAAGGTAAGATCCATATTCACGTATAAGTAATTCATCAGCCCCATGTTCTTGTAATTGTTTATAAAATTTAAGTAGAATACTTATCTGCAAGAAAATTAAGCATGTTATAAAAATATAAAAAAAGTATCAAACTGAAAAATCCAAGAACAAAATAATACCTTTTATAAATTTAAATTTAGTTGTGACAATGTTGAAAATAAAATAATGATTACATACTACTGATATACAAGTCCAATTCATGGCTGTGAGGCTGAATAAATAAATATATACTACTGATATACAATAGTTAATAAATAATACACTGATCTCAGTGCTACAGAATTTACATTAGAATTTATTATGCGATAAACAGTATACATGATACAATTTTTAAAACTTACTCTAATTTTTGACTTATCACCACTTAAGTTAGAAATATGAAACAAAACTCCATCAAAGTCTGCTATAACAACATCTGTAGATTCTGGTTTGTGACTATGAAAAAATGTATATTCATTATATTAAATATGTCAAATACAAAATTATGAGAAGTTTGAGAAATGAATGATTTAATGTTATTGTTTTTTCATACATTTTAATTACATATTAATTGCACACATTACCTATTTACATTTTCTTATCACTTTTTAAATTAAAATAGTTTCATTAAAGTATTAAAATATAAGATCAAGTGTTAAAACTACTGCACTTTATATAAATATTTGTTTAACATAATGCAAGTAAATAGTAGTTGACTTTAAAGTCGTTCATTTAAAAGAAACTATATAATATTTGTGAATGTCAAAATGATTCATTTATGTTTTACTAAAATAAACAGTACAAGTATTTGAAACGGACACCGCCCTAACTTGTAATCCTTAACTTTATGTTAGGAATGTATAAAATATCTTGACCTTAAAAATGAAGCATTTTACTTACCCCGACAAAGCATTTTTTATTTTGTTAGCTAACGTTTCTTCTAGTATCCTATTGTGTATCTCTAATAAAATCATTATTATAACTTATATTAATTAATTTTACTATTATAACACAGTAGTTACTAATTATCTACCGAGAAATTTAATCATATACACGATTCTGACTAATTTCTAATCTTTTCTCTTGAACCAAGTGATCGAAGGTTTAACATAGCCAGGTCACTCAACCACGCGTTACGTTATACCACTACTAAGGCAGTTGATTTATTGAACAATGTTCAGTTCACATTATTTTTTATTGAATATACTAAAATCTCAGTACTTTAATTACTTCTATTTTTCAAGTTATTTACTTTACAAACAAATATTTCTAATAAATAAATTTTTTAAAATGTATCGATAAATTATTCTACCAAACTAGTTACAACTAAATTACTAGATTCATAATAACGGAATAATATTTCGACGTTCACGCTCCACGACTCATGCGAACCAACTATGAGACCATACTGTGCGATTCTCATGCGAATTCACCTTCTCTAGTTCCAACGTACTTACCCATATGCATATTCATAACGAACTTTCTTCTATAATGCTTTAGGTTGGTAACGCCAGCTCCATACTTTCGTTCTGTCCGATGAGAGGGCATAAGTTTTCAAGCACTGTTAATAACTCAAAGAAAAAAGAAAGAAAAAAAAGAACTATAGTTTAGAGGCTTAGGGATCAGATACACATCGTCTGCAGCAGCCCCAACGATGATTTTAAATAACAGACGATTCTTAGACGAAATGTCTTTCATTTTCCTCTTTTCACGGCATGAATCCTCATCCTGAGTAGTACCAGAACGTAGGTTTTGGTAGGCAAGATCCCATTCTCGTTGTATATGCACTTTTAGGGGTTTGGGCGCTCAGTTACAACACTTTACACACTTTATATTTTTCATGTAAATATACCAAAAATATATTTGTAAAGAGCGACGATTACGCCATTATCGGAGCAAAAAAGAACTAAGAGAAGCGCTCGACCGACGTAAGTCGTCGCGACGCGACTTCTCGTTGTTTTGCTATATGTTTCCAACCCTCCTTTTTACAGTACAAAATTTTATTACTTAAAATTTGTACATAATTATACTTATAGTATATTTATAAGTATCATAAACTCGCAAATTTTATGTGCACATTCACACGTACATGCATATTTTGTTTATTTATGAGCGTAAAATTTTTAATAAATTTTTGTATGTTTCTCTTAATATAATCATAATTTATTTTATTTTACCATTTAATTTTTATGTTTTTACCGTAAAGGTTAACATTTTATAATTTTGAGACACATATTTAAAATGTAATTACAATATTTAGTTATTTTTCATTATTGATATTGTTACTTCTTTTGAGGATATAACTTAATTTAAATAAATTATAGTTTTTGTATTTTACATTTAATTGTTTTCGTAAATATTTCTTTTCTTAAATTTTAAATTATATAATCAATATTTTATTGTCATATGTATACGCATGTATTGATATTATTGAATCATTGAATAAAAGTTCCCCAAGAATTTATTATTTTTCTTTTTGGTTTGCATTTGAACACTCACTGTTTACAGTAAATAATTTTTAAAAATAAGATAAGGATGTATTGACATAACAAGTTATATATACAATAAAAATCTATAATAATGCATATAATTTTTATTCGGATATTCATTTATAAACAAGGTAGCATGACATGCGCCATGGAAAATAGGACATAGCAATGGCTTAAAGAAGAAGAAAAGAACATTGCGCATATAACTACAATTTCTGTTATTCCAATGCTCCGTGCATTTTGCTATGATATTTTTCGCATATTCAAATATTGTTTTTTTGTCGTTCCAATGTAACATTTGCAATTGTTTTGGATCGTTACAAATTATATGCATTCAGATGTTGTGTTTGAAATTGCAATTCAAATGTCACCAAAGCAACAGAGAACTCGTTCTCGATTCAAGGTAATCTTTCGATTTACGCCATGAATATATATACAAGGTTACCTTTTTTGGAATCATATGACAGTTTATATTTTAATGCAAACGTTTTATTTGTCATAATATTTACAATATGTAGTGTAGTTGTTATTAAATAGTATCATGTATAATTAATTCAACGCATTGAAGAATAGTAAGAGTAATTTCCTTTTCGTAAATATAGAAATTTCGT